GCTCGCGTGACTACTCAGACATTTAAAAGGCTTCACTTATCTAAAGGTTGGGCTGTTTTTATCAATGTTTTGCACATTTTCATTGGGAAACGAATGCTGCGCCATGAAATCAAGAGTGACGATTTTAATTACTTGAAGTCGTGAAGTATTGCACGGGTGAAAGCCTGGAGCCAATACACCCTCGGATCTAGTATTTCTTATTTTCTGAACATTCTTCTTTAAAGTGTTACCAGCTGACGAGTAATTGGTGTTTTTGGATTCCCCCATGTACTTCGCCCGTGCCAAATTACCGAGTTGTCCGGGCCTCTGTGAGCTTTTATTGGGTTTCGGTCCTCAACATATCCACCGTGGCTAAAATGGCGTCTCTCTGCGGAGGGTTAGTAAACACTATTGGTACCGGCCTAGGAGGTTGTCGTTCGATTCTTAAATTTCAACAGAATCAGTATAAAAACTCTCTTAAGTACCCTCTGCCTCTGATGGGTAGCCCTCCGTGAGGCATTGTTGTGTGGAACCTGATGTCTTTTCTCGGTTGTTTGTGGACTCGGCGGCGGGTTCAGATTTCGCTTCTACCACGTCGTAGGGATTTTGACCCACGGCTAACTGCGTTTACTACTAATGTGCTCATGTGTTGCTGTACGTATATCTGACTGCCTCTACGTCCACTTTATATTTTGCACAGCTCCCTTGGATCTGCAAAAGCTCCTGTTCCGAATTCCTAGGGGAAGTATTGTTATGGTTTTCTTATTTTGGACTCTTTCCCGTGGTCCTTTGAATTATCGTTTCCATGCCAAGGGGACCGAAGTAGTTAACAATCTCCCCCGCATATGAACTCTTACAAACCGGGAGCTAGCATTTGCACTCATATCAGACACCTATGCAGAAAGTAGAGATCGGGGCTTTTGGAGGGGGTCGATTATATTTCGCCACTCCAGTTTGGGTAGATGTCAGGTCCTTTGCTCTCTAGTACTGCTGGGCAGATTTTCCTCTCACGAAAGTGAGATGCGCCGTCTGCTATTTCGTTGGCACTGGAGTGCGAGCATTTTACCAGATAGACTATTTTCATGGAGCTTTTAAGGCCTGAAACAAAAACGTGATATATTTAGGGCAACTACGAAAGGACCACTGAAAAGGTGATGCTAATGCAATAACCGGAATGAGAAATGTATCACTCAGAATTGTAACAGTCCCACAAGCAGCCTGTTCGCTACTTGCTGCAGTAAATCCTATCAGCAGAACATAACAATCGTAAAATTTTTCAAGTCGTCGAAACAACGTGAGTGAACTAAACCAAGGGCAATCACTGACATTCTGGTGAGATCCTCAGCAAGCGGATTGATTTGGTACATATTCAGTCTTTCTGTGTAGTTTCAAATGTTTTGGTCCAAAATTATCCCTATTGGTTTCACGACCCCAGACTTGTCGTGGCAGATCGCGCACGCAAAAGCTCACTGAGTTCAGTTGGCTCCACCGGAAGTGGCTATTTGTTCTTCACCTCCATTCTCTGCTTAACTACTCCCACTTTTGCCGAGTCCTGGTGGAATGTTTGGATATTTCGAGTCGTGCTCGTTTGGCATCACTGGTCTTGTTTTATTTTTACGGCCAGCCTGGGAACGAGCACAATCGAGTGTGATTTGTAAAGTCTTGATTTATATCGTTCAACATTTGCATACCGCATCAGCAATGATAACCGTTCTGTTTCTCGGCAGATTCGAATTTCCCACTTTCTTCAGTTACGGGTCTATAGGTTGTGAAAGTCTGTCCTTCAGGGTGCGTAAGGGCTATGACTCCCAGCCGTCGTATGGCCTCTTTTGGGGCAGCAACGAGTTACGGTGGATGAATTGAAACCACCAAACTCAACGTAAGAACTAGGTTCTCCGGCTCTTTTTGCCTTCTTCTCTGTGCTTACGGACTTTCCACAACCGCCTAGCTCCGCCAATTTTCGTTGTTCACAAGGGTCTAGCTGACTTATTAAGCCTGCAGAATAAGTCTCCCTAACAGCGATAATAAGTAGTATATAGTGACTTTGAGATTCACGACTGATGGACCTGGTCACTGTGGTTTTCCAGTGGCCAGAGTTCCGTCCACATATTTCCTGCTCACTGCATGACAGAAGTCAGGTCGAGTTAGGCCAAATCACAGGACTCGCAGCCAGGCCGAAGAGTGAACCTCACTTTCTCACCGTGATTTGATGCTCCCTTGGCCCCTTTGTGATTGAATGTTGCAATCACATGGGACAAAATTTAGATCATTACCGTAATAAATAAGGTCTCACAATGGAAAACGGGCCAAAAGCTCGAAAAGGCACGGACACAAACTGTATTGAAGCTGGTGGAAACAAGTTCCAAATCACGAGTAAACAATAGAAATACTAATAGTAGTAATAATACTAGTAACAACACTAATAATAATGGAGCAGCAAAGAGTGTTGCAGTTGGATTGGGACGTGGTCAAAATTTGGTTGGGTATATAGGATGGTTGTTGCAGGCAGATCTGTCTGAAGAAAAGTTGGAGAACACGGATGAACAAAACTTGTCCAAACTGGCCTAAACTGCGTCAAATTGAGGGTGGACATCACTTCTTCCTGCAGATTGTTCGATCCATTACCTTCTCTAGGGGAGGAAAATTTTTCCCGGGTGATTGTGGGCACTCAGGGCTTATTGTGCTTTATTATGCGTTCCCTAAGTGCCGGGATCTTGACGAGTTCGAGGAGGGTTGAATTAGTTGCTGACATTACTTTCAGCTCCATTTGATTTCTAATCTAGTCCCTCTCGCCAGTCCTTGGTTACGGAAGAAAAGCTCTAAAGTGACAAATCATTCGGTATAGAGTAGGTTTGTAATGACCCAAAGATGACCGAGTTTGTATGTGAAAAGTGACGGAAGGTTATCACAGTTGAACACAACCAGCTAGTACCTGGCTTCAGGCAACTCGTGCTGCTGGGTGACACGTGACTTCTGTTGTTTGACCACTTTCCGTAACGATAGATGATTATCGCCAAATGGAGAACAATTCTGACCGCCCTGCATTGAACCTGGTTGAGCCTTGGCCCGCCTAGCTGGTTCCGACTTTGATGTCGCTTTAACGCATAGGTGTGACCGAAAAGCCGCAATGTTTCAGTACAAATTCACGTTCGCCTTTCACGGCGAAACTCATCAACATTCCGGAACCTTTTGAACTAATGGTTTGTCGCCGGCTCTCCATGCTATTCTTAGAACTGAGTCCGCACCTCGTAGTCCGGAGTACTAAAACATCTTAAGTTCTGAGACTGTCCTAACAAATCTTCGACTGAAGGCTTATAGACACCTCCGGTATTTTACCATCAAGAAAGCTGTCATTCGACCAAAACGCGGAAGCCCTGACCGAGTGCAATTAACTCAACTATTTATTGCCTTTCTTACCAAACATCAAACTTTACCGGCTCCAGATTGCACCGCAAGTTCCCGAGACAAAGCGCGACCCAAATGAAAACAAAATTGCTCCACAAATATTACGGTGCGATTACTGAATCGCTATATATATATATATATATACAAATACACAACGACCATAACTTTGACGGCGATCCTCAGTCAATATGAAGCCAACAAGTAGCAAAGATTGGGACAGAATTTTGTACGAACAAACAGTTGATCAGATAGGATAAATAAGAAGTACTTTTCCAGTGGTCCAATTGAATAAAATAAAGTCTGCATATCTAATCAGTTTTAATAAACAGTTTACTGGGTGTTTGGACGAAACCAGTGCGAACGGATTTGACGTGTGTGACTCGGTAGCGCTCGGAGGACAGCGAGGTCAAACCATAACGGATCACGGGAATTTGAGTCAATGCTATTATTTAGGATATAATATACTCTCCAGCGCGGTCTTTGAACTTGTCTTCTATCCGTCCTTGCAGCAAAATTCAAACGAAGTCCTCTCTGTTCTACGAACAGAAAAGAAGCGATTCGGTTTACGGATTAGAAAATGTGTGCGATATATCTTGGTACCCTATCAGTACCTATACCGGACTTTCCTGGACAGCAAACAAAAGCGATAGCAAATCAAAGAGCCAACGGCGAGCGTGTATAGTTGGCGTAGATATTTAAGTGAAAATGATTCAATAGCAAAGTCGGCGGAGGCTCGAGAAAAGTCAGTTCACTCAAACGTGCGCAACGGAAAAACTAGTGGTATCAAAACCGAGCTCCGGAAAAGGTCACAGAGAAACCAGTAATGGTGCCCAGGAAATAGTCATTCACTCAGCACGATCGGGGTCTCTACCGCAGCCCCCTGCCACGAAGCTTGGAAATCTTTCAGAAGATGTCATGGTGGTAAAGGCATAAAAACGATATTTCTGTGTGCGAATGAGTGCAAACTAAGTGGATATGTCTGTGCTATAGGATTCTGGAGGGACATAATCCGTGGTTTGCAGAAGCTGTGTAGTGATGGTTGAGCACAAACCAGGTCTGTTACCAGTGACGTCGGTTGCCTGATTCGTTACCCATGTATCCCACAGGAATAACGCCCGGGAATGGGCAACCGTTAACTAACGTGATATCCAGGAGTTAAATCGGTAGGTTCGTCCGTGACCAGGAACGACGGCCATGGAGCTGAACCAGAAACCTAGTGTTAGTGCAAAATTTCCTCGGGTTTCGTGGAACCTGAATGGGGTACCACACGGCGAGGTTTCAGGAGGCGAAAAGAATCGTAAAACTGATGTGACAACTGCACCGGACGTGACTGCTACTTGTACCGATACGAAGAATACGGAATTTATTACTGCAAAGTGAAACGATTGAAGTTTTGTTTGTCCTAGTTGCAAAAAATAGCTGCGAAAACCATCTTTCGAGCAGATCGCGAGACGAGATCTTCATTCGCGGACCGATTTTTGAGTGTGCGCTGCTGACTTGGACTTTAGACTATATTCCCACTCGAGGACGCAGCACAGCCAGTGGGCTACTGGCCTGAAAGATGGACGAGTCACATCTGAGGCCGTAGTATTACCCATTGGGTGCTGTCCTAAACGCTAGACGGTGGCCAATTTCGGAGTCGTAGCAGGCAACGCTAACTGGAGACCGTGATTTGAGGTGGAAGCCTCGTCATCAGGTGGTACATGGTTGTCTTCGGACCCCATGTCAGCGGGCGACAAGCTATCACCCACGTACTTGGCCTTGAGACGATCGATGCTAACTGCATCAGCGCGGCTGTGTCCATATACCTTTAACCACGACGGGAAATCACGTGGAGTGGACCTCCGTAAGCTTGTCATAACGGTTTGCGTACCGAATCAAGACGAATGAATACATGCAAGCAGGTATCAGGTCTAGTCGGAAAAAAATCTATTGTTGCTGCATTGGAGTCTACGCCCCAGCAAGACTTTGCATATAAGAAGACAAACGTTGAACGTAGGTTTGTAAAGGAAGTCACTCTGTACTCCATGGGGTAAAGCACTCCCCGGGCAGTCGCATTGTTGTGTCGTGGACAATTTCCGCGGCGGAAAGTTGGATATCTGTCTCTGAGCAGTTCCTAAAACCAAGCGGAACTAGCGATAACGTTCGGCACAAATCGGGGTTTTTCTGTGCTTTAAGAGCCACTGTGAGTTGACAATGAGGAAGTTAGCCCAAACCGTTCCGAGTGGGATGTTATGTGCTAGTGCGAACGGGTTCTGTACACAGCGTGTGAAATAGTGAAGAGGATAAGTCAGACTCAAATTTTTGCCTCACATCCATGGTGATAGTGGAAGGACAAGGAACTATCCATCGTTTCATCGGATCCTGAGCTACTGATTCTCCATTGACGATGGAGATGGGAGCCGCCTCGCGCCACCTCGAAAATGTATAGATGCGCGGTAATTCATAGGTATACCCGCGTGATGTGGTCACTGGGACTACAATGTCTGCGTGGATATGATCGAAGCGGGCGTCAGGCGTGGCGAAAGTACCAATAGGTGAAGCTACCTGTCTATGAGCTTCAGATCGACGACTTTGCAAAACGCTGTTTTGGCCTTGTGCAAACATGTTTATTCATGGAAGGCTGGAGGCATCGTGCGGAGACTAGTCGGAAACGGGCTTTGGTTCCTGGGTGCGAAAGTCCATGTAAGGTATCGAACAATGAACGCCGATATGCAGAGGGTGCGGCTGGCCGAAGTTAGTCTGCAGAAGAGTCACAGAGTGTAGTCCCATCAGTGGCTGCCGGAGGTGCGGATTGGCCCTGGCAGCGACGGCTAAAAAGCATCTAAGCTTGAACTGTTCCGTGCCTGTGCTGCAACCACGGCTGGGATATCTAAAGTGTGAGGTTTAATGGCGTCGCTTGAAATACGCAACAAACCACCTGCAAAGCAGTTCTGCTCTCATTCAACTTGTCGCAGGCCAGTTGTGAAATGAGAAGTATGGACCGAATATCCGCTTTAGGGAGGCGGAGGCCAGCCTTAGCCCGCAATGCACACGTTATAGGCTTGTGCTTGGTGAAGAGAATACAATATTGACCCTGGCGGGACTGTTCAAAGGCTACGTATGCAGCCGGCGGTTCGTGACCAAAAGCACCAAATTTTGTTTTCTTGGGCTTGAGGCGTCCAGAGAAAAAGTTTATTGGTTTCTAAATCCCAGAAGCAAACTTTTGCGACGGCAAAGACGGATGGATCCACGGCTACGCTTAGCATGTCGGACGGAACCGGGTGCACTAGAAACATGGCCCGTGCTATTGCCGCCCAAATTTCCGAGAACGCTATTTGTGCTCCATCAGTAAGCGAAAACTTACGTGGACTGCCACTAAGAAATTGGTTATTGGAAGCAAACATTCAGCAGCGTGGGCCATGAAACGATGACAAGGTTGACCAACCCCAAAAATGCCTCATGCTCCTAGACGGAAGAGGTCGCGCAATGCTCTAGAATAGCACGTACTTTATCCTCGCAGGGCTTACCACTCTCCTGAGTGATCTTGTGACCGACGAACACAAATTCCGGTTTGCCGAGCCAAAATTTATCGGGGCTGACTACCATTCGATATTTGGACAAACTTTAAAATATTGGCGTCAAATGTTGGGAATGTTCATCTACGCTCCACGGTGCAATTAATAAGTCATTGACGTAGACTTCAACAAATTCAAAATCTCGCCTAATGTCGTCAGTAAACCTCTGGAATTGTTGAGCAACATTTTGCAAACTAAACCCGTGATAGACATAAGGAGACGTGGCGGTGGTTTTCTCGCAATATTCAGCAGTGAATGGAATCTGGTGAAAAGCGTGTACCAAATAGATCTTAGAAATTACCGTCTTGCTACGAGGCGATGTGGTGATGTCATGTATAATGTGGTGTTGGGTAACTACCCTAACGGGTAACCAAGTTAAGTGCACGACAGCAGCCACATGATTGCCAACCAGTGCCATCTCTTTTGAGGACTATGCGTAGAGTTGAGGCCGATGGACAGTAAGAAGGGCGGGCAGAACTCTTAGAAAATGGAGTCTATTTCACATTCGGTTTATGCCAGCCTGACCGGTGTCAGTCGCCGAGGTCGTACAGTGACTGGTAATTTGTCAGTGAAAAAGTGGTGTGCCACACGACTGGTCACTGCATCCATCAGTTTAAGCAGTATGGTCAAAATGGAAAGTTTGATCAGCAAGGCTGGAATTCATAAGGAGTGCTGGGAGTCAAACCTGTGATTCTGTATGCAACGGTTCGGGCCGCTAGACCAGTGGAGTAATTGTCCGACAAAAGATTCGTAAGCTGAAGCCTGCGAGAATTGAAAATTGACTGATACTGCTGTAGAAAATTGATTGACAATGTGCCTGTGCGAAAATGCTCGAGGATGAACTTCCAAAGACACCGTCGTCGTGGTCGCGATTGACATCATACCATCTCGTGCCTTAGGAAGGAACGGATTAGCCGCTCACCGCTGACCATCGAAGCATAGAAGCCCGTGACCTATCCTTACATACAGGCGGAACAAACACTTGGGCCCTAGTTGTACCAGCCGGTCGTGGAAAATCCCCTTTTTCCCCCGCGATTCAGTGTTTTTTCCCAACATCACTCATTTCCATACACTATTGACTTGTCTTTACGAACTGGTTGTTTTTCTGGACCAATTGTTGTTTGTTCGCGCCCAGAGCGCTATTTTGGCACATCCTTGTTCAGGACCTGCGTGACGCACGTGCTGTCTGCTCACACGCTGCTATTCGGTTTCTCGTTGTTGAGTCTTTGTGATCGTATTATTGAGGTTTGTATATTGTTTATGTCATTGTTTATTTTAATAATCTAGTATCGTAGAATTATCACGGATAATCGCCTTCTGATTTCGGGATCCGTTGCGAATTTGGCTACGCATTGCTCAAACGTTCGTAACAATACTCAATAGATCTATTTGGAACGAAGAAAATTCACGCAAAATGCCAAGGAAAGGATCAAAAGCAGTCGAACCCGGACAGGAAGTAATACGGCAAGTCTCTGGGGAGGTTTTGGGTACATATGATTCTTTAGTTAATGCTAGGTCGCCTAGTCCTGTCAGTGCTAGCTCATGTGTTAGTGAAAGCAATATTGATCGTAAGGATGTTGATTTATATAAGCTGAGAATAATAGAACTAGAGCAACAGTTACTTTCGGCTAGACTACAGGCGCATGAAGCAGAGAAGTGTACACAGAAACAGCGAGAGCATGAGACCAGTGACTTCGACACTTCCGATAGGTTAGAGTGCAACAAGGTAGGGAACCCCACGCCGGTCGCCGACTACAAACCACCATCGATCGATCTGCCTAGAGTGGAGTTAACGGTTTTCGACGGGCGAGCTGAGCAATATTGCAAGTTTGTCAAACAGTTCGAGACGTTCGTTGAAAACAAGGTAACCGACCCTGGGCAAAGGCTTCTTTACCTTACTCACTACTGCCGAGGCCGAGCAAGAGAAGCTATCGACGGGTAAACTATGCTCGGCCCAGAACAAGGCTACACAAGGGCAAGAAAGATTCTGAGGGACTTGTTTGGCCAACCTTTCAAAGTAGCCCGTAACCTAATAGAGGGCGTGATGGCAGAGGCAAAGAAAACCAAGGGCGACGTCTACACCATGGCCGACCTGGTGATCAAGATGCAGAACTGCTCAATAGCCCTCGACCATTTAGGTTACAGAGCTGACCTAGACGCCATGCACACTTTGGAAGGCATAGTCCGTCACCTCTCTCCCGAACTACAGGGTCGGTGGGCGGAAGAAGCTGAACGGATAAGCCGAAGCGACAGAGAAGCCAACTTCGAAGACCTGACTGAATACTTAGACAGGCAAACGAAGATAGCTGACAGCAGATTCGGCCGACTCATCCGGGACAGCAACCGAGCAAACAAGCCCGGTACTAGCCAAGTCCAAACCCCTGTACCGGAACATCCAAAGTACCAGCCTTGGACCAACACACACGTCATTTCACGAGATGCTACGGCAAAACCAAATTGCAGATCCTGTGGTACTAGCCATGGCCTACCAGAATGCCCCAAGTTCGGCAATGCCACAAAAGACGAACGGTGGGGAATGGCGAGGATGGCAGGAGCATGTTTCATCTGTCTCAACACCACGCACCGGGCAGCAGCCTGTAGAACAAGGAATCGATGTGGTTACGAGGGCTGCACGGGCAGACACCATCGGCTGCTGCATCAGGCGAGAATAACCATATCCGAGGCGAGTGCCAAGCCCAGCGTGATTTGTTCAACTTCACAATCTGCCAGTAAACCGGTACGTTTAGGCGTAGTGGCCGTGGGAGTAGTGACTCCGACTGGGATAGTCAAGGCGTTGGCTTTCGTTGATAGTGGATCCGACACCACTTTAGTGAAAGAGCGGTTTGCCGACAAACACCAACTGGCTAAAGGTGCGACGTCGTTAGCAGTGAGCACGGTGGGCGGAACACAGGTAATGACTGCCGGTAGATTAAGGCTGCAACTCATCTCTCTAGACACTAACGAGGAAATTGAACCAACGGAGGCATTCACGTTAGCGGATCTCCCCATGCGAGCATCAAAGTCGGTGAACGCAATCTTGACTCGGTGGCCCCACCTGCAGGATGTAGCCGTCGTAGACTGGGAAGATGATGAGGTGGATCTCCTCATCGGATGCGACGTGCCAGAGGCGCATTGGGTGCTTGACCAAAGAGTGGGCGACCGCCAGGCACCTTTTGCCGTCCGCACGGCTCTGGGATGGATGTTAAACGGTCCAGTAGGGGTACGCGGTTCCGTGAATTACTTATCCGCCGAAACGGACCGCATAGAGTATCATCTGCAACCGCTGTATGAAAAGGAGTTTC